CCCCCCGCCCCGGCCCCGCGCCAGCCTCCTCAGAGAGAAGCAGCCCCGCGGCCGCCCCCATCAAGCGGGACTGGCAGAGTCAACCGCGGCCCCGCTGCCTCGTAATTTACAAGAGGGACGCTGAATTGCACTTTGTAATTTGGTGTAGGTTTACAAGCCAAAAGGACTTCTGTTTCCTCACCTAACAGGTCCTCAATCACCGCCTGACCCCTTTTAGGAGAGGGACCTGGAAAAAGGAGCTATATTCCTTGCGCCCTCCCAAGCTTTTTGTCAAGCTTGGGAGGCAGAGGTGGCCGTCCGTCTGTCCTGTGGCCGCACGGGCTGCAGCCGCTGTATAAAAGAAACGTTTTTTGAGCTCCTACTATGTGAAGACATTCTATCTTCATTATTACCGAATCTTCACAACGACAGGCCAAGAAGGGCCATTCTCCCCATTTTGCAGATGAGGCAACTGAGATGCAGGGAAATAATTGTCCAAGATCCAGTAGTGGGTGGAACAACCATCTTGGTGCCCAGGATCTCCGAGACTCCTAATGCCTCTGAATATTTAGTTTACTAACCGGTTTGTGCAGTCGTAGACCCCATCCCCACCCAGATAATTTCTCCCCTAGTGTTAGAGTTCCTCAGACTTCCTGAAACTTGTCCTGAGATTAAAAACCTCTCTTCCCCCTACCCCCCACCATCTCACCTCTCAGCATTTGGTGGGATCGTGATTTCCTGTGGGTATTCAGGGCCAGAGAATGGAGTGTAATTCAGCTGGATCACTACTACAGCTGCATGTCCCCAAGTATGCAGGTGGTGTGCAGGGAGAATGGGACTAGCGTGGGTGGCACCTGGAAATGGGCAGGGAAGTCTTGAAGAAGCAGTGGAGATGTAGTTTAGATTTCTGATGAGGGGGGCAGGTGTTCAGTGGAAGGAACAGTCCTTGGCTCACCCACCTGGAACCAGGAAGCCCCATACCTCCAGTAAGTTCATGCTTTCCCCGCCTTGAGCCATTCACTGCACAGAAGGTGGGCCTGGCTCTGACTTCTGAGGGCCTTGCTGGCTCCTTGTGCTTCTGGGAGCCTCCTCCACCCTTCTCAGGTGCCCACCTCCTCCCAACTCCTATACCCTGTCCTGGCTTCAGCCCCCACGGTTTACTGTACACAAATCCCACTTGTTTCCTCCTTATATAGCAGCTTTACAATTCCAACTAGTTCAAGAGCTGCCTATCTTGTTTGTTTTCTGTTTAGGAAACAGCTGCTCCTACCCCCTTTCTCCTTCTGTTCCCACCTATTTCCCCTTCTCAACCTAGTTACACCAAATTAGCAAACTTATTATTTTTGTGCCCTTCACCCTTCCCTTTTCCTACTGGTAACCACTAGTTTAGCAAACATTTTTTCTTGATTTTGTTTCTTAATATTCAAAATAACTAGCGAGGACTAATGATTTCATGTTTTCTGCCGCCTCCCCCCCCCCCAAGAAATAAATAGAATAAAAACCCAGTCTGCCAGTGTCTTGCACACGCAGCTGGCAGTGGTGGGGGCTTGTAGTTTGTTTACAAGTCCCTGGGCAGAAGCACTGAAATGTCCATTTGCAAAGGCAGAAATGTAACTAGCACGGGGAGACAGAGGACAGCTGGAAGCGCCAGGTATTAAAATCAGAAGGAGTGCAGGTAAATAAAATAAAAACCACAAACTTTTATCAGTTTTTCTATCTTGCAAAGTTTGAGACTTCATAGCAGAGGCTGACCTAGGACCAAGGTGCTTACCAGTCTATAGCCCTCCCACTGCGTGACTCAGGCTTCCTCTTTGAACCTCAGTTCCGTCATTGGAAAAACGGGGATAATAACACACTTCTGCTTTGGTCAAGAATTCAAACGCTGTAACATAGATTAACAAATGCCCATTGATGAGTATAAGAAACTATGCAAAAGGTAAAACTCACTGGTGTTATTAGGTGGTGCCAAATGGGACAAACGAACAAGTCTGCTTGACTCTTTGTCCCGCGTCTGAGCGCGCACAGTTCCTAAGCCGCCCTCAGAGAAGGTCGGAGCAACTCAGCCCCCGACAGGAATAAACGGACCTGTTTCTCTATTCACTGGACATCGAAAGCAGCTCTGGGGAGAAGAACCCGCACAAAGGGAAATCCCAGTGCCTGGTAACTTAGGGAAGAACTTTCTACATCGACAAGGCTTTGGAATGTCTTGCGCGTCAGGCAGATTGCATTACTTTCACAGTAGTAATTCCTAAGCTGCCTTGTTCCCACCTATCTGAGCTTGGTTAACTTCTAACTTTCAGTAATTTCCTTCCTTTAGCAAATATCTATTGCGACCCTACTATGTGCTCAATGCATTGGTACTCAATTTTCTAATCTGACTCCTATACCGATCCTAAGAGGCATTGATTATTTAAAGGTGTAACTAGAAAAGCGTCTGAGTTTAAATTTATTTCAAAAAATGAAATGCAGCATTGAATTAGAAGGCTAATTCCTTCTTTCAGTAAGCTGGAAACGTAACTGTTATTAAACATTTACGTTAAGAGATTTTTGAGGGAGATAGTAGAAAGTCCCCCCCCTTATAAATACATTGATGCCTACTAAAAAGTTCTCTTTAAAAAGAGATTCATTTAAAAGATGTGAGTGAATAAATAGCACTTAAATCTCTTAATGGCATATATTTCTACTCTCCCCCAGATCAACTCACAGTAATTCAGATAGCAGAAAAATATGTGACTAGGTGACTTGGTGACCTGCCTGTCTCACGGGCATGGTGAAAGTTAACGGCAACCACTTTGCACTTTGAGGATGAGTGGCGCTTGCCACAAAAGTATCTACAGGTCCTAAATCCGCTAACCCGGTGCCGTGGTGCAAGGTAACCGTTGATTTATTTTTGAAAGAGAAAGTAGGATATCCCCGTGCGCTTCCCTTATTTCCGCACCCCCCTTTGGGTTAATGATTGAGTCGCAGGTCGACTGGTGATGCTGATGACGTTGCCTTTCTGATCTCTGCCTATTCGTCTGCTACCTTTCTTGAGGACGGCACGATTCGGAAGAATATGTCTCTGCTTTTTTCCTAGCCCGCAAGATAAATGGCGTCTTCGCTCCCGCAAGCGCCGTCACACTTCGGTTTTAACCTCGGGACAGACGACCCGGCTGCACAGAAGGCAGCGCAGGAGGATTCTAGCGGAGCGTGGCGGGAGGGGCGCGGCGTGGGGGGCGCGGCCGCCGCCAGGAGGCGGGGAGCGCCGAGCCGAAGCACTCTGGCCAATCAGCGTTCAGACCGCCTGATAACCGGCCAATCAGCGGGCGCAGGGCTCGGGGGCCCGAGCGGATAATACTAGGAAAGGGAGCCGCGACTGGCGACTGCAGCGAGGGGCGCTGCGCCGCACGCAGCTACGTGCGCCTGCCCGCCCTGGGAGCCCAAGATCTGACTTGCTCAAGGTGGCCCAACCTTCCCGCCCAGCTAGGGTCAAAGGAAGATGAAAACAGCCTCAGGGAGGCGAAGCGCCCGGGGTTGCGGAGAACAGACCGGAATTTTGTAGTCTGGGATGTGCGGAGCGAAGTCGCTGAGGATTTGACTTACCTTCTCCATCCCTCTTCTCCCCTACTCCTCATCCAGTGGGCTCCGGGCCTCCAGCTGCCAGCCCCCGGTTTCGTGGCATGGTGTGACGGCCGTGATTTTTGTTTGCAAGCACAGCTAGCAGCAAGGTCCCAGGGCTGGATATCTTTTACCTCGGCTGCTTAGCCCGGGCCTCAGAGTCTTGGTGAGTGCTGTGATGTTGTGGGGGTGTCAGGGAGGGCGAAGACCGTGAATCACCTTTCCTTATGTTTTCTATTTAACTTGCATGTCTTGTCTTAAAGTGCAAATCATGACCGATATACACAGAGCTCACGCGGCTTAGCGCTACGTGGCCGGCTGAAGCATTGCTAATGCTGGACGGCAACTGCAACTTTGTGCCTAGTGTCCCTACGGGGCTCCAATGGCAGCAGAACAACTTTGGGTTTTCGTTGATTAAACCCGGGGTGTGCTGGGGTGGTACTTCGATGGATCTGAAGGGGCCTTTGTGATCAGAAGGAAAAGAATTCTTCTATCGACATTTTAATATTCATCATGGCCAAACTAGTTGGGTCTGGGAAGTCCAACGAGTGACCTAGGCCAGTCTAGTTGGACACAATACTTTTGTATGGGTGATCATTGCATTACCCAGGGACTTGCCCTCAAAGCGTTTGTAAAGCCAGAAAGGGCTGTAGTTAAAGGTCAGGTGTTCACAGAGCACTTAGAATTAATAGATTAAAAACCTTACTGGGTTGTGGATCCATGGGGGTGGGGGAGGGCAAGATACAAGAAACGGCATGTGTGGTCTGCATGTGAAGGACATGCAGAGAACTGGGCTCCTCAAGGGGTCGGACGGAGGTGGGCAGACCAGGAGCTCTGGGACCAAGGCCTGGGGACGATGCCTGACGGCGGTCGGTGGCTCTTTGGGTCTTTTCGTGTCTCTCCAGAACGCAGGCGACTGAGCGTAGGCCCGGACGAAGGGTGGTGCGCCATGGCGGGCCGGCAGACAGGTCCCGCCATTGACTGGGAGATCGACGTGGAGAGCCTGGAGCTGGAGGAAGACGGTCGCGGGACGCCGTCGCCAACGCCGCCAGGGCCCAGCCCGCCCCCCGCCGATGGGGACGGCGAGGAGGA